GAACCCGTGACCCCTGCATTGGCAGGCGGACTCTCAACCACTGCGCCACCAGGGAAGCCCATGTAGATGTATTTTTGACGTATTTGTGGGGAGAAAGGTGATCTCCACGTCTTACTCCTCTGCCATCTTGGAGGTCTCCCTCCTTGTTTTATTTTTTGTGTGCTTTGCTGAAAGAAACTCTTACCCTTGAATATGTATGAAAGTTTGAGTGGCTCTAGAATTCTTGGGTCACAGCCTTAAAGTCTTGAAACTGCTTATGTTGCTCTGTTGGCTTCTGTCATTTCATTAGCAAAAAAAAGTCTGATGTCAGACTGAATTTTTATTTCTCTGTTAGTAATTTTTTTTCCTGTCTGATTTCTGGTAAGATTTTTTAAAAACTCTTGAAATTATATTTAAAAATCACCCAAATACATCTGGTGTTGTTTCTTTTCCTAATTTTCTCTGGAATAAAGCAAACTCTGCATTTTAGATCCTGTCTGATTTCTGGTAAGATTTTTTAAAAACTCTTGAAATTATATTTAAAAATCACCCAAATACATCTGGTGTTGTTTCTTTTCCTAATTTTCTCTGGAATAAAGCAAACTCTGCATTTTAGATGTATTTCTTTACCTTATCAAGGATCTATGTTGCTTTTTTCTTTTTTTCTTTTTTTTTTTTTTTAACTTTATTTATTTATTTATTTATGGCTGTGTTGGCTCTTCATTTCTGTGTGAGGGCTTTCTCTAGTTGCGGCAAGCGGAGGGCCATTCTTCATCGCGGTGCGCCGACCTCTCACTATCGCGGCCTCTCGTTGCAGAGCACAGGCTCCAGACGCGCAGGCTCAGTAATTGTGGCTCACGGGGCTAGTTGCTCCGCGGCATGTGGGATCCTCCCAGACCAGGGCTCGAACCTGTGTCCCCTGCACTGGCAGGCAGATTCTCAACCACTGCGCCACCAGGGAAGCCCTTGCTTTTTTCTTTTACCTAATATTTTATATGCTTGTTGTATCTTACGGGTTTGTCCCATTTGTCTGTAATGTTTTCTCTGAGTTCTGGGAGTGTTTCTTGAGCTTATTTTTCATTTAACATATTCAGTTTGATCATTTTAGTAACCAATGGGCTGTTCACTGTCTCCCCATTGTAGTTTTTACCTTGTTAAATTTCATTTTGTACCTTTTATCTTTTTCTTGTTTATTATTCTCCATTATTCCTAATTGTCTTTAAGATGGCTACTCTTATAAACTTAAATCTTGAGTTCAGCCATCCTCTTGGCACTCTATAGATTACAGAGTTATTAAAAAAATATAGAGAACATTGAGCCACTTTCTCAGTGAGCTCAACTAATAGGAGTAACAGAAAAATCATTTCAACATTGTCATAAGTTCATTAGTAAAAGTATGTGCAAGTTACAGAGTGTAATCATGTATGCCAGCAGCTGGGGCATAGGGTAGAAATCACAGAAAAGGTGATGACTAATTTGGATTTTGAAGAATTAATAGGGACTCCTCAGGTATCTAAGAGTGTAGTGGAATAACAAGTCAGTGGCTTCACACCCGTGCTTACTCTGACAGTAAAAATGTGTCCCCCATCATTCAGATGAGGGGTAAAAATTAAATCATGAAGGCTGTTTTCCTCTTATTCTCCTTGTCCCTCAAACAACAAATAACCCAGTCCATTCAGGTAGGAAGGCTCATACTTACCAATAAAGGCAAGAGTATCAGGAGCTCTTGACTACTCTTGGTTGGAAAAGGATTTTCTCCTTTGATGTTTGAGAAATTTAGTGATACGTCGTAGCTTCTGTCCAATCAAAAACAGATAAGAATAAATTTTGTTCTATTATAGACATATATTCTTGTGTCTATTTCCTTAGTTGTTGGTCGAAAGAAAACAGAATCTTGGGGTAGGTGTAAAAGTGAGATTAATTTGACTCGTGATGTTAATTATTGTAATTAAAATTAAGTGACCAATGCAACTGTTTGGGGCTTTATCTAGATATTAAGTAGAAGATATTTTGGTGATTATGCCTTTGCTTTATAAAATGATTATTTATGCTTTTTAAAGTACAGATGTATTTGAAATATGATTTTGATGCTAACTTCTCTTAAATTCGTCATAGGTTCATCTTTATTTTTGTTAATGTTAGTAACTGGTAATAAAGAACAAGTTATACCATATATATCATTAAGCAGTTTATTTTTGAACATATATTTTCATACTTGGATTTTTTTACAGATAACTGTTGAAGGAAAGAAGCAAGCGTTAAGCATTGAAAGCCGAAATCTTTTCTATGAGATTCTTTGTGCTCTTGTTAACCCAAAACGCAAGGACACTAGGGGATTCAGTCACTTTACTGAAGTGACAGAGAATTTTGCCTTTTCTCTACTGACTGATGTTACTTGTGGCTCTCTTGGTGAAAAGTAAGTATCATTTAATATAATAGCAGTACCTTATATGTATTCCTTCACAGTTTACAAAGTAATATGCAATGCAAATTGACATTCAACTGATGTAACTCAGGATTATGCAATCAATACATTGTACCTAATGGGCAAATTAAGTTAATTATTTGAAGAGAACATAGAAACTACATCAAGAGAAATTAACTTATACTGTCAGTAATATATTCCTCTTGTTTTGAAGGTTCTTTTAAAAATAAAAATGTGTTATTGCTTACTCGTATTTATATAATGAGTAGAAGATACATTTCTGAATGGAAAAAAAAGTAAGATGATTCCAACTTTTAGACATATTTTAGGCCATATTTTTTATTGTGGTAAAATACACATAAGATGAAATTTACCATGTAAACTGTTTTTAGATGTACAGATCAGTGGCATTTAGTATATTCACACTGTTGCCACCATCACCACTTGCATCTCCAGAACTGTCATCTTCTCAAATTGAAAATCTTTACCCATTAAGCAGTAACTCCTCTTTCCTCCCTTCCCCCAGCCCTGGTAACCTCTATTCTACTTTTCAGTCTCTATGAATTTGCCTATTATAGGCACCTCATAAGTGGAATCATACAATATTTGTCCTTTGTGTCTGGTGTACTTTGCTTAGCATGTCTTCAAGGTTCATCCATGTTGTAGCATGTGTCAGAATTTCACTCCTTTTTAAAAAAAGTTTTTTTAAATTGATGTATAATTTACTTTATTTATTTATTTATTTATGGCTGTGTTGGCTCTTCATTTCTGTGTGAGGGCTTTCTCTAGTTGCGGCAAGCGGAGGGCCATTCTTCATCGCGGTGCGCCGACCTCTCACTATCGCGGCCTCTCGTTGCAGAGCACAGGCTCCAGACGCGCAGGCTCAGTAATTGTGGCTCACGGGGCTAGTTGCTCCGCGGCATGTGGGATCCTCCCAGACCAGGGCTCGAACCTGTGTCCCCTGCACTGGCAGGCAGATTCTCAACCACTGCGCCACCAGGGAAGCCCTTGCTTTTTTCTTTTACCTAATATTTTATATGCTTGTTGTATCTTACGGGTTTGTCCCATTTGTCTGTAATGTTTTCTCTGAGTTCTGGGAGTGTTTCTTGAGCTTATTTTTCATTTAACATATTCAGTTTGATCATTTTAGTAACCAATGGGCTGTTCACTGTCTCCCCATTGTAGTTTTTACCTTGTTAAATTTCATTTTGTACCTTTTATCTTTTTCTTGTTTATTATTCTCCATTATTCCTAATTGTCTTTAAGATGGCTACTCTTATAAACTTAAATCTTGAGTTCAGCCATCCTCTTGGCACTCTATAGATTACAGAGTTATTAAAAAAATATAGAGAACATTGAGCCACTTTCTCAGTGAGCTCAACTAATAGGAGTAACAGAAAAATCATTTCAACATTGTCATAAGTTCATTAGTAAAAGTATGTGCAAGTTACAGAGTGTAATCATGTATGCCAGCAGCTGGGGCATAGGGTAGAAATCACAGAAAAGGTGATGACTAATTTGGATTTTGAAGAATTAATAGGGACTCCTCAGGTATCTAAGAGTGTAGTGGAATAACAAGTCAGTGGCTTCACACCCGTGCTTACTCTGACAGTAAAAATGTGTCCCCCATCATTCAGATGAGGGGTAAAAATTAAATCATGAAGGCTGTTTTCCTCTTATTCTCCTTGTCCCTCAAACAACAAATAACCCAGTCCATTCAGGTAGGAAGGCTCATACTTACCAATAAAGGCAAGAGTATCAGGAGCTCTTGACTACTCTTGGTTGGAAAAGGATTTTCTCCTTTGATGTTTGAGAAATTTAGTGATACGTCGTAGCTTCTGTCCAATCAAAAACAGATAAGAATAAATTTTGTTCTATTATAGACATATATTCTTGTGTCTATTTCCTTAGTTGTTGGTCGAAAGAAAACAGAATCTTGGGGTAGGTGTAAAAGTGAGATTAATTTGACTCGTGATGTTAATTATTGTAATTAAAATTAAGTGACCAATGCAACTGTTTGGGGCTTTATCTAGATATTAAGTAGAAGATATTTTGGTGATTATGCCTTTGCTTTATAAAATGATTATTTATGCTTTTTAAAGTACAGATGTATTTGAAATATGATTTTGATGCTAACTTCTCTTAAATTCGTCATAGGTTCATCTTTATTTTTGTTAATGTTAGTAACTGGTAATAAAGAACAAGTTATACCATATATATCATTAAGCAGTTTATTTTTGAACATATATTTTCATACTTGGATTTTTTTACAGATAACTGTTGAAGGAAAGAAGCAAGCGTTAAGCATTGAAAGCCGAAATCTTTTCTATGAGATTCTTTGTGCTCTTGTTAACCCAAAACGCAAGGACACTAGGGGATTCAGTCACTTTACTGAAGTGACAGAGAATTTTGCCTTTTCTCTACTGACTGATGTTACTTGTGGCTCTCTTGGTGAAAAGTAAGTATCATTTAATATAATAGCAGTACCTTATATGTATTCCTTCACAGTTTACAAAGTAATATGCAATGCAAATTGACATTCAACTGATGTAACTCAGGATTATGCAATCAATACATTGTACCTAATGGGCAAATTAAGTTAATTATTTGAAGAGAACATAGAAACTACATCAAGAGAAATTAACTTATACTGTCAGTAATATATTCCTCTTGTTTTGAAGGTTCTTTTAAAAATAAAAATGTGTTATTGCTTACTCGTATTTATATAATGAGTAGAAGATACATTTCTGAATGGAAAAAAAAGTAAGATGATTCCAACTTTTAGACATATTTTAGGCCATATTTTTTATTGTGGTAAAATACACATAAGATGAAATTTACCATGTAAACTGTTTTTAGATGTACAGATCAGTGGCATTTAGTATATTCACACTGTTGCCACCATCACCACTTGCATCTCCAGAACTGTCATCTTCTCAAATTGAAAATCTTTACCCATTAAGCAGTAACTCCTCTTTCCTCCCTTCCCCCAGCCCTGGTAACCTCTATTCTACTTTTCAGTCTCTATGAATTTGCCTATTATAGGCACCTCATAAGTGGAATCATACAATATTTGTCCTTTGTGTCTGGTGTACTTTGCTTAGCATGTCTTCAAGGTTCATCCATGTTGTAGCATGTGTCAGAATTTCACTCCTTTTTAAAAAAAGTTTTTTTAAATTGATGTATAATTTATTTACAATGTTGTGTTAGCTTCTGCTGTATAGCAAAGTGATTTAGTTATATATACATTCTTTTTTATATTCTTTTCCATTATGGTTTATCACAGGATATTGAATATAGTTCTCTGCTCTATACAGTAGGACCTTGTTGTTTATCCATTCTATATATAATAGTTTGCATCTGCTAACCCCAAACGATCCCTCCCCCTACGCTTGGCAACCTTTGTCTGTTCTCTATGTCTGTGAATCTGTTTCTGTTTTGTAGATAGGTTCATTTGTGTCATATTGTAGATTCCACATATAAGTGATATCATATGTTATTTTTCTTTCTGACTTACTTCACTTAGTATGATAATTTCTAGGTCCATCCATGTTGCTGCAAATGGCATTATTTCATTCTTTTTGTTTCTATGTAGTATTCCATTGTATATATGTACCACATCTTCTTTATCCATTCCTCTGTTGAAGGACATTCAGGTTGTTTCCATCTTTTGGCTATTGTGAATAGTGCTACTATGAACATAAGGGTGCATATATCTTTTTGAATTATAGTTTTGTCTGGATATATGCCCAGGAGTGGGATTGCTGGATCATATGGCAACTCTATTTTTAGCTTTTTGAGGAAGCTCCATTTTGTTTTCCATAGTGGCTGCACCAGCTTACATTCCCACCAAGAGTGCAAGAGGGTTCCCTTTTCTCCACACCCTCTCCAGCATTTGTTATTTGTAGGTTTTTTAAGATGGCTCTTCTGACTGCAGTGAGGTAGTACCTCATTGTAGTTTTGATTTGCATTTCTCTAATAATTAGCCATGTTGAGCATCTTTTCACATGCCTGTTGGCCACCTGTATGTCTTCTTTGGAAAAATGTCTATTTAGATCTTCTGCCCATTTTTTGATTGGGTTTTTGTTTTTTTGTTGTTGAGTTGTATGAGCTGTTCGTATATTTTGGAGATTAAGCCATTGTCAGCTACATTATTTGCAAATATTTTCTTCCAGTCTGTAGGTTGTCTTTTCGTTTTGTTTATGGTTTCCTTTGTTGCACAGGAGCTTATAAGTTTGACTAGGTACCATTTACTTATTTTTGTTTTTGTTTCTATTGCCTTGGGAGACTGACCTAAGAAAGCATTGGTACGAGTTATGTCAGAGAATGTTTTTCCTATGCTTTTCTTCTAGGAGTTTTATGGTGTCATGTCTTAATGTTTAAGTCTTTAAGCCATTTTGAGTTTTTGTGTATGGTGTGAAGGTGTGTTCTAACTTCACTGATTTACATGAAGTGTGTGTCCAACTTTCCCAACACCACTTGCTGAAGAGACTGTCTTTTTTCCATTGTATATTCTTGCCTCCTTTGTTTAAGATTAATTGACCATAGGTGTGTATGTTTATTTCTGGGCTCTCTATTCTGTTCTGTTGATCCATATCAACTTTTAGACATACTTTAATATACTGTTAATTGTGCTTCTCCCGGGAATTTTGGTTCAATTTCATCCATTTGGAGGCAGTTCTCTGAATGTTGTTGAACTTCAGAATCTGTTGTTTTAGAACATATTGCTGAACTTCAAAATGTTGTTTCATGGCTGGAGTTTCAGGGCAGAGAGCAAGTAAGAGGAAAAGGAAAAAATAAAATGTGGTTTGTGTATTAACTATATAGTTAATTTTGTAACTGTATGTTAATATTCTCCAGTTCTGGTGTTTTATTGATAAATTACATTCATAAGGTAAATTGGATCATTGTAGTACAAAGACCTAAATCATGTTTTAATTCTGTTTGACTTAACATAAAAATAGCTCATAATAGAACATGGTTGGAAGTTGATATTTCCCTCCAATTTTCACAGAGTACTATGTTATATAAAAAACAATTATTGTTATTTAATGGGACATGTCTGATTAAAAGTGTTGTTCAGTGAAGTCAAATAGTTCATGGCTTTGTATAGTCTCAGTCCTTTCTCTTTGTTTTTCCATATTTATGCAAGATCAACAGGATGTTGAGATAGTGGTAGATGTGAACCATCTACCCTGCTGTGAATGTTGATTCCATCTGTGCTCTCAAAGGCCTGGTGAGAACTCAAAAGAGTATAAGATGCACAAAAGGAGTGGCTTTTTCTGTCTTGTTGCCTAATGTATTCTCAGGGCCTAGAACAGTGTCTGGTACATGGTAGATTCTCAGTGGTTATGGTATAATGAGTGAATAGAATGAATAAAGGAATCAATATGTTTTTGGCCATGTGCATCGTCCCTGCAGGCTTGCTGTTTCGCATGTATAATAGCAGTCAGTCAAGAGGAGCGAGCATGGCACATTTGGGGAAATCATCAACCTTTAAATACTGAATATAGAGTATGTTAGGTAGGGTGTGTGTATGTGTGTGTAGGAATCCGATTTAGGATTTTAGAGCGATCATGTTGAGGACTATGTTAAAGATGAGTTTTTTTTAACTCAGGGAACTCTAAAGATGTTGACCATTCTAATATGCATTATTTATACATTGTCTTAAGCAGTATTCAGGGGCATCTCCTGAGAGTGAAGGGTTTGGGAATAGAGCAGGGATATTGAGGAGAATGATGGTATCTAGAACAATCATTTGGAAGCCAAGTAAAAACAATGTCAAGTGGCATTGAGGGTCTGACTGAAGTCGGTCATTGTGGATTTGTAGTGGTGCCAATCTACATGTTAATATGGGTTTTTCCCCCTCATTTAAACCTAGGTGTAAAGCAGATTTGGGGATTGATCAAAGTGAGTGCATTGGAAGGGCATGGATATAGGAGGTTAAAGTGTCAGGGAGAGTGTAGTTGTCGTCAGGCCCTCTTAAGGGACCAGGGATTTGACACACTTGTGTCAGGGTTGGGTAGAGTCACTGTACCTGTTGTGTTTGTCTCAGAATGCCAACGTAATGGGGTCCCTGATAGCGCTGATGGGCTAAATATCAGAAGATTCCAGGGTGGGTGGGTAGGGGGTAGGTTCACTGGTCTCAGTCACATTGTACCTGGTCAGGGGTGGGGAGGTCGACAGTGGCAGCTTTTTAGCTCTGAGTCACCAGTGAAGATGTAGGAAGCTAGATGGGAAGATGAAGAGATGAGCTTTTTATAAGCTGTTGTGGAGGTGCAGATGGCCTATATGGATTGAACTGTTTTAATAGGAGCCTTGGACACAGGGGTCTAGAGCCTGGATGAATGGCTGGACTAAAGATAGATTTTAAAGGTACCAATTCAAATGTGGTAGTTAAAGATTTTTTTAAAAGAGCATATATAGCTAGAGGAAAAAGTTAGCCCTTACCCTTTCTTTTCTTTTTCAAATCTTCTGTTTAAAATTCTCAACTCCGTTTCCCAGGTTAGGGGCCTTGATGAGGTATTTGTATCCATGATACATTTATATATACTCAGCATCTCTTTTGGCCCATGTAACTTTTAAAACTTAATGCATGATTTTTATCCTAATATATTCTCCATTCTTTTTGAGGCAGGTTTCAGGTATGATTCACCTTTGTGTCTCTTCATTGTTTGCAAACGTGATAGATCCACAGAAAAAATGTATCAGATTTTTTGGAGGACTGGTTAAAAAACACAGATTCGTAGAACCTCTAGCCTCCCCCAGGCAAGGTTTCTGATTTAGTAAGAATGGGATGTGATCTAGAAATCTGTGTTTTAAAACAAGCTTCAAGGTGATTTCAGCACACACTGAGGTTTGGAAGCAATTTCACTGAGCATAGGATCTCGTGCCTAGGGAATGTTGAAAACAGTTGTTAAATGGATAAAGATCCCTGCTCAGGGCTGTTTCTTTTATCAGATATATGGTTAAATTGGAAATGATCTGATGGCTTAGAAAGGGGTGAGGTAAACTTGATGAAAACATGGCTCTAGGCATATAAGGTTTATGATATTCTTGAATATAAAGCAGAGTTTCAGTTTAGTGGTGCATCCTTTCCTCAACCTATTCCACCAATGCTGATGTGACTAATACAGAAAAGTACATTTTATAACCACAGATCTGATATCTGTGAAACAGCTTGCAAAAGCCCATGTTTTAGGTTATAAGGGGGATCAGGCAAGAGGATGCAGAAAGTTCTGTGCAGAAAATCCTGACAATTCACCATAAAAGAACTGAAAGCACATTCTCTTTACTGCTCCTGGGTAGGTAGTGTCATGGTTATACATAAAGAAAGGAGCTCCAATGTGATGAATTTTAACAAATATGTTTTTAACAAATATGTTAAAAAATTTTTAACAAATATTTGCAAATACATATGCAGATGCATGCCATTTTAGCAGAACCTTTGCTTTTCTGTCATAGAAGCAAAACCATCCTTGACAGTTGCCCATATTTGTCCATACTGGCTCTTCACTGGTACCCTCAGCAAATCAATGGGCACAAGTTTGAAGGAAAAGAAGGTGATTATATTCGAATTCCAGAGAGGTTATTGGATGTTCCGGATGCAGAAATAATGGCTGGGAAAAGTATATGTGAATTAGTCCAGTTTACAGAGTATAGCAGCCAGCAGTGGTTTATAACTGGAACTAATCTTCATGCCCTGAAAAATAAGGTAATCTATCATTTAAAGAATTATGTGGTTAGAATCTGATTTTTCCTTAGCAAACATATTCCTCAGGATACATTCACTTGATCAGATTTGTGGTAAATGCTAGACATGGTGAGCTAATACGAAACATGTCCTATCTTTATGAGCTAGTTGTAGAATGTTTAGTCTCAAAAATAGTTGGAAATATTTCCTTCATGTTTTGTTAAGTAAAAATATATATATATAAGTGGAGAAAGTAAAAAAAAAAAAAAAAAACCATAGCTTTCTCTAATGCTATATTGTATTGTATGCCCCGCTTGTGATTAAGTCTGACAGTAAATCTGTCAGCTGGAGACTGCTCAGTAGCTGGAGTAGAGGTAGAATGTTTGCAGTGGAAAACCAACAAGACAGCCTGCATTCATAAGCTATGAATAATAGTGACAGTAAGCAAGTAACTAAAATGACTAGAAAAATGAAGTGAAGTTCAGAATGGGAGATTCAATCATGACATTAATTTGAAAAAATCATTACATTTTCTATTCTTTTTGGCATTGTAGGTATTATCTTTGAGTGTGAAAGGCCAGAGTTCACAACCCCTGACCAACAACAATGAGATTCTCTACAGGATTTATGCTGCTGAGCCTAGAATTGTTCCCCAGACATCTCTGTGTCTCCTTTGGAATCAGGCTGCTGCAAGGTACTTGTTAATAATTCTTTAAAATCACAATTTGTTCCTTCCCCATTCCAGTATCATTAAGCCCAGTTTTTTTTGTACTGAACATAGAGGTCTCAGGTGAGATTTTAGACTGGAGAATAACCTCTACACTAAATGAGACAAAGCAGCATAGGAAATGGTCTAGCCTTGTGCAGGTGGCAAACGCAACCAAGCAATTTAAATATGTGTTTAACACATTATGTACTCCTTTATTATTACTACTTTCATGGGACATAGTGTGAGTTCTACTCAATTCAGATAACCTCCTTGTTAATTTATTGAGCAGGGAAGGAATTTCTTTTGACCCCTTCCATCTGGGCTTGTGGTTCTGGATCTTCTGCTCTATGTTTAGAGGGATTAGTAGGGATTTATAATTCTAGTCCACATATGACTTGGAGTACATTTTGGGATTAAAGCCATGCACAAGAATGAGAAGAAGGGCATGATTCTTTCTTTAACTTTCCTTGGCCTAAGATATGTTTCTGAGCAGTTCTCTCTCTGTGAGCTCAACCAGGGCTGCAGGGTCAGGCATTGCTGGCTTAGAAGGTTTAGGGTTCAAATCAGTCACTAGGTTCTGTTTGTTACTGACTTACAGCCACACCAACTAAAATTCTAAAGAGGGTTCAACAGCTTAGTTGGGTAACCAACTGTCCTTCAAACACCAAAACTCTCCTTAGTCTCGTTGTGAAAAAATAATTTTCCATTGAAATTCCTAATGTCCGAGGACACATCTTAAACCTAATACACTCTACAATCCTCAATATATAATTAATACTGAATGTTTCAAGCTTGAATCTGCAGTTGGGATTAAGAAGATTATGTCCTTAGAAAAGTAAAGGGATCAAGAGGCACTGGAAGGGAAGAGTAGTAGTCACGGTAGTCACTGAGGGATGCTCGGAAGGCATGGAATGTGACACTGTATTTGCTATAATCATGACAGTTATTGTGGTAAAAGCCAAACCTTATAGAAGGAAACACCTGAAAGAACCCTGGGAAACATTTACATAATACAACTGGCTCAAAATCCAAAAAAGGTGAGCTAGGAAACTTAGAAAAGCATGAAAGTAATTTATGTGGCTCAAAATAAAGGAGTTGTGAAAAATGAGGAAGGGTGAACACTGCACATTTGATGGTTATGTTGACCTTTCGGTATTCTTGAATGCTAGGGAAGAGTACTTTCTGTTGAACACCTTGAGTGTGTTTGCTTTAGATTAGGTAGGGACTAATACTGCTCTTTTGAGAGGACCAGCTTCTTCGGTATTGGGAATGCTTCTGCAGGTTTAGTTAGTATTTAGGCTGCTTCTTAAAGTATCTGTGGGATCTTTGTGTCATGTCTTGGACGAGGTGTTCCCTCCAATGTTTCTTCTTGAAAATGTGGTCTGCTTACGTCTTGAGTAAAGAACACTTAGGTTCAGTAAGTTATTTTTTCTTTAAAAGCCATCTCAACGCCTAAAGTATTGATGAAAGAGGAGTAGTGACGATTGTGTTTTTGCCCTAGCTGGTTGTCTGACAGTCAGTTTTGCAAAGTGGTTGAGGACACTTCAGACTACGTGGAATGTGCCTGTTCATACATGTCCGTGTATGCAGTCTACGCCCAGACTGACAACTTGTCTTCATACAACGAAGCTTTTTTCTCTTCTGGATTTATATGTATCTCAGGTGAGTTACAGTATTTTTGAGTCAACAATTTAAAATATCGATGAGAATAAAACCCGTTTTCCCAGAGTCTTTTTATGTATGCAAGATGTGGGCATACTGTAATTCATCAACACAAGGAGAAAATGAACTTTCCCATGGTCTTGTTCATTATTTCATACAGCAGTTGTTTATGGAGGACCAACTTTGTGCTAAGGGAAAGTAAAGAACAAGACATAGTTCCAACTCATCTGTAATATAAAGTACAGGGTGGGATAGAAGCTAGATAGTAAGAAAGGGTATAGTTGATAGTGCTGTGATTTAGAAGGCAGATTCTGCAGTGGAATATCAGGATTGTGTGAGATAATATAAACAAAGCATTTTGTATTTTCATTAGAAAATAAACCTATCCCTTGGGTTGATTTGCATTCTGCAGTCTAGAAGCTCTAAATATGGCTTAACCACTGTGTTAAAAAAGAAATTGTCTTTCACCTTCTACATCTAGGTCCCATTTCTGGCAGGAATAGGAACTTGAGTTGTGTTAATGTCTGTCAAACTATTTACCTATAACTTAGCTTTGAATAACTATAGAATTATTCTCATTTGCTGTTTTGATTTTGTGGTTGGGAGTCTGAGAATTCCTTACACTATATTTCTGTCCCCACCCTCATCTATTCTGTGCCCTGAGTCATCTTTTACAGACGTACAGCAGCTTCTGTGAACAACATGCTACATAGAGGACTGGGTATAGGGTAACTGTGAAGCCAAATGGCCTGGGTTCAAATCCTGGTCCTGCCATTGGCTAGTTGTGAGACCTGGGCCTAATATCTCCATTTCCATACCCACAATATATGATTTTAAATTGTGTTAGGGCTTCCCTGGTGGCGCAGTGGTTGAGAGTCCGTCTGCCGGTGCAGGGGACACGATTTCATACCCCGGTCAGGGAGGATCCCACATGCCGCAGAGCGGCTAGGCCCGTGAGCCATGGCCGCTGAGCCTGCGTGTCCGGAGCCTGTGCTCCACAACAGGAGAGGCCACAACAGTGAGAGGCCTGTGTACTGCAAAAAAAAAAAAAAAAAAAAGATGCTTAAATTGTGTTAACAGGGTGGTAGATATACTAACTCAGACAATGTAATTAATTATTCTTCTTTGTCCTGGTTGTTAAATCTTTCCACTATAATTTAATGTTCGGTGTCCTAGTTAAAATATTTTCACTATAATTTCATTTTATAAAGTTATACATTTTCCTTAATGTATCTTAATTCTAAACCTAACTTAGATTCAGTAGCAAAAGTTAATAATTTCTTATTCTTAATAGCATCTTCCATAAGAATGATGTTTCTTGCTTATTAATAGATTCTTCTAGGTACACAGAGTTCCAAAATTAGGTGGAGACATCCTATTTTACTTTGATGCAATCTATTTACAGAAATTTCATAGACTGATGAAATAGAGCCATAAGGTAAAATGCTGAAATAAAATCTATTTAGATATCATTTCATGTATTTCCATAGAGACATAAATCTAAGTGCTAATATAACCCACAAAAATCCTTTGCTTGTTCTAAATACTAAACATCAAAGCAAAGAGTTTTAAAAACTAAAGAGAGAATGTTACCTTGATTTTTTTTAGAAGACTAGCAGGACTGTAAGATATTTCCTGAGAGAATTGTTAATAAATATGCATTTTTGCAACTAACTCTTGAAAAGGCTGGATAGACTTACTCATGTATTTGAGAACCAACACCCCAATATTAATATCTACATTTATTACTTTTGACTTGGACTCATATTTGAAATTATTGGGTTTTTTCCCCTCTGTCCATGACATATTGTAACATGGATTGCATGTTCTGTGGATCAGGAGACATAAAGTCCTATCTTTGTGCTCAGTTTCAGCTTCTGGGGAGGATGGCATTCTATCCCTCTGAGGGCCCCCAGGAACGAGGCAAGAGACTTTTATGTATCTTACATACATATTCTCTAATTTAGGTCAGGCCACACCAAATATCCCTCTGAATTTGGAAGCAATCTGACAAACTCTTTTCATGAAATGTGGTAACATACAATTAGACAGGAATTAAACCCTTTCTAAAAAAAATCAGGATAGATCACAGTGTATCTGTTCCAATTCTAGTTTACAGTTCTGGTTACTTTACAAGAGCAGAACAACTAAAATGATCCAAGTGTATGAAATGGGCATGTAGGCCAAGAAGTTAATAATTCTCCATTTAGAAAGGTGAAAGACTAGGCTATATACCTGTGACTTTTAAAATTGTAAACCAGTTTATCAAATTCCAAGAAATTAAAGTTATCCCTTGAAGCTAAAAAAAGAAAGGATGAGTAAATAACTGTGCACAGCAGTGTAACGTTATGGGACTCGCCTCAAAGGTGATTTGGAAGAAACACAACTTACAATAACTTTAGATGATAATGCCATAATTTTATAGTTATTGAGGAACCTAAGCATGGTTTGAGGTGCTATTACTATTCGGAGAATAATATCAAAGAAACCTGCTCTGCTTCCCATAACTCTGTTGATGTTGGTCTATCTGAGGTAGACATTGGGTTAAAATCATCCTAATTTTGACTCTGGAGTACGATCCATATGGCCTTATGAACTTAATGAGACCCTGTAACGTTCCGTAATCCACTTCGTTTTTAACATCAATACATGAACTAGGTCATGTTTGATGTGCTTGTAGGTGGGTGAGTCTCCTATTTTGAAGTGCTTTTAAGCTGAGACCTCACATTTGTTCTTTTTTGTTCTCTTATGGTGGAGAAATGCTTTAACACATTAGTCAAACTAAAGCTTTCCCTTTTAAATGATGAATAGTTTTATTTACTCTATAGATTACTAAGTATATAAATGCCAACACAATGTCATTGTTTACAGTAAGTAACAGGAGATAATTGTCTATAAATTGCTAAATACTAAGACTTACAGGATAAGTAAATCAGCCCAATCCAGGATACTTTGAAGCATGCTTATTCTTTTGTTCACGTTTATTAAACTGCAAGACTATTCTAAAAAAAAAAAAAAAGAATATTCTAGTTGTGCTTTTACATTTTACAAGCTGATATTCTAATTGTTTTTCTGGAAAAAAACCCAGATGCTACCCATTCATTTTTAATTATTTTTAAATATAAGAGATATTTACTAAATTTCTGTGTCAGATTCTTCTAAAGATATTAAGTTCATATTCACAGTAATCGTTGTCCTAAGGTAGCCATTATAATTATGAAAACAGTTTCATTCTATCAAATGGGGAGTTATTTACAAGAAGAATCGAAAAAATGTCCGAACTTTAAAAAAAAGCAGTTTTAAGGGGTTACTGCAGGTGATAAAGAAGTCAGAGAGCTTAGTCTAATTCTGACATGGCATAAAAATGTTGGATTTCTCTAGCTATGTATCGATAATAACATGTATTGTTTAGGATGGCCCTGATTGCAAGTGACAGAAAGCAACTCAAATATCTTAAATAAGCAGAATTTAGTTTCAGGGTTGATTAGTTCAGCACCCCAATGGCATCATCAGGGGCTCAGCCTCTTTACATTTGTCTATTTTGCTCTCCTCAAAGGTTTTATTTTATTTTCTCCGCCTTGCCCCTACGTGGTCTTGAGCTGGCTGCAGCAGCTCTAAGCATCCCACAACTCTGCCTAGGCTTGCCAAGGGAAAAGCACTTATCTGGATCCAGTTTTAAGAGCAATGAAAACTTTCCTGAAAACCACCCAGAGAGTTTTCCTGTACATCTCTTTGACCAGAATTGTGTTCTGTGACCTTTCATAAACAGTCTTGGGACAGTTTAACACAGCACTCTCCAGTAGATCTTTCTTTGATGATGGAAGTGTTCTGCCCTCTTCAGTGTGGTGGCTACTGGCTACATCTGGTTATTAAGCCCTTGAAATATGGCTGGTACAATTGGAGCCTGAATGTTTAATTCTATTTAATTTTAATTAATTGACATTTAAATAGCCACATGTGGCTAGTGGCTACTGTATTGAACTTCATAGGTTACCCAGAGGCTGGTCTCCTGGCAACCTCTTCTCTCTGGAGTAATCCCTTCCCTCTAATACACAGAACTTGTGTACTCTAAGGTGTTTCGTATTGACTTTTGTTCACCCTAGAAAACTTTTCAGGATTGACGATTTTGTTTTCCTGTCCTTAGCTTATTAGTAGCTGTAATCAAGAGGCATCATGCTGAAGAGAGAGTTGCAGGAATATGGGAATCAATAGAGATGAGCAACAAAAAGTAAAAAAGGTGACAGTTACAGCTAACATTAGGTGGGAGAATAGAAAAAACCTAAGCTAACAAGCGAATAACTGATTTAATAATCTAGTGATCATTTGGTTTTTAGATTGATCTGTAGAGAAGACAGAGATACATAAGTAAAGCAATACAAAATTTATAACTATTTTAAAGAGATTTTCATGGGAAAAAGTATTAATGTATGGCTTGTGGAGGGATAAACTTCAGTGATTTGGACAGTATGTCCCATTTGTAAGTGATGCCAAACGGTAGTTATTTACTGGATATCTGTATTCATATACAAACAGTACATATGTATATACACATACAAACATTCGAATATTGTATAGATAGATAAGGTCTTTGGTCCACTTTGGTAATGGCAAAAGAATCCAGCGGTTCTTTAGAGTTTTTCTTATCTAAATCAAAGATTATCAATGTTATCATTTTGTTAAGGGTAATTTATTTTCCATCTTACTGTCTAATCATATAGAAAAGTTATTTGTGTTAGTAAACTGATTAATTGCTTTTTTCCAATGGATTCTGTAACCTACATAGTGCTAGGGAAAAAAACAAATGAAAATTATTCAATCAGCAACTTGTTTTTCTACATAATTGCCAAGGAATCAGTTTTTACAAACCTGTTTAGAGTATACCTTTAGGTAATACCTGGAATTGTTACACTTTATTTTAAAAAATTTCTATTTATAATTATACCTTTTTGTACCCTGTGATTTACATATTAATGGAATTTAAACCAAAAAAAAGTTACAATTTTTAAAACACTGACTTGTAAATTTAAATTATGGATGCTGAATATAGCTCTTCAATATCAGATAAGAAAATAAAAGATAAATACTTAGCATATAGTGTTTAGGAACTTGGTAATTGAAGTATTTATTTCTTTAAATCTAAGGTATTCAGTATCTCTCCCAAGGCCAGTTGAGGCTAGGCCGCTTGAGGTTTTTTTAGCCGCATTCTTTTCTCCTAAATAAAAAATACATCTAGATAATCATCATACATTACACTTACAGGCTAATAGAACCTAGCCCATTCTCCTGCCACTGGCTTTGAATCCTGGACTGCCACCAGGTGTCATGCTAGCATTTTAATTGAAGCTTAATAAACTTAATTAAATATTACTGATCTGGTCAAGTTTAACTGTACTAAATTTATATCATGAAATGGAAGTATAGTGGAGAATTACCAAGTTAGGGGAAAAGGCTGTGAATAAGTTCTTCTTGTGAACTAGAAAGAAACAGCTGACTCAAGAGTATTTCTCCTTTGCCCAGCCCTAATCCCCTTGCCTCATATTGTTACCATCCACCACAGTAAACTCACAGTAAAGTACATATTTGTGATCATGTGGCCGGCAATGAAATGAGACTTCCAAGGCCCTGCTTTTAAGTCAGTGTGGTAACACACACAGACCCCCACACACACACTCATACACACACTCTCACACTCAACCTGAACCTTCAGTTTAAGGTGACTCTGACCATCACAGGAAGTTCAAAGTGTACATTTGTGAGTTTGGAGCAACAGCTTAAATAGTTTATAAGCTACCTAAGTAAAAATGCAGTTTCTGGCTATACTGTGTACCTGTGTGGGAGGATTAGGCAGGCAGCCCCAGGACCTGCACACCTGTCCCAGAACACCTCATGGCAGCCTTCCTAAAAGTGGATTACTCCTGATTTCTTGGCCACATTTCTATGCTGAAAGCCTTGGCTAATGCAAAGCCTCACTTCCTGTGTGGAACTTTGTCTACCTAATGCAAACCTAAACATATTGAAAGCTTTTCCCAGAAGGATTTCTGAGAGGCATTTCTGTGCTGACAATTAGTCACAGACCCCATGTGCGCATTTTGCAGGTGCCCAGTCCACTTATGCCAACATGTGGTGTACGTACTTGAGAAGTTTGTTCCATGGCTTCAGAGAAGATAATGAAGAAACAAAATGTTAAACAAATGCAGCGTCTCCTGCTTGCCGCGGAGGCATTGATGCATGAGCTAATGCATGCAGAGTACAGGGCAAAGCAGCATACACAAGCCAGTTGTTATGTTTCAACACTTCTTAGACAAAATAACCCTACTGAGGATGAGAGTGGAGTAAAAGGCTTAAGTGATAAAGCAAATAGGTTACTTTGTGCAGCACATTTAAATTTTAAAAGGCAGGAAATATTTTTAAAATATATATATACGTTCTACATTTAAAACCTAACATTAAAAGAAATTCATACAGATTGCAAGATAAAAGATTTATGGGTTATCATGAGATTCTGATCTTCCCCTTGAAGTGGTATAGGTAGGTGAATTCAAGTAGATTTAAAGAAGATAAGAATAATGTTCTTCACACTACTTGAAAATGTAGGTGTTTAGGTTAAAAATCATCTCAGAAAGAACACATTTTGTTTCTGGTTTTGGCACCCAGGAGCATAAGGTTGCTTTAAAAATTCATGATCACCACTGTTGTAATTACATAATTATTTCTAGTAGACAAAAAGGGGTAATTACCAAACCTGAGTTTTGATAGCACCATTCACAATTTTATGCCTGAAAAATCCTATTCACCTCCTTAAATATCTCTATTTAGCAAGCCACCTGATCATGGAAAATTAGATTGGAATTTGATTCTTTTCTTAAAGAGTAAAGCTTGTCTAAATTATTAATCTGCTTAATTTGTGCTTTCTTTTTAGTAGGGAAGTAAACAAGTAGATATTTGAAATTTAAAGTTACCCTTTGGGCTTAATAAGTGTGAGGATTTTATATGTCTTGTCAAGTGGACTGGATTAAAATTGGAACATGAATGTTCCCTGAGATGTTGTGCTGTGTGGCCTTATGTGCTTATCTTTTCCAAAGATTTTACCATGCTTCTGTTTATTCATGGATTGTAAAACCACACATGGGCTTTTTTGTTTCTACAGGTCTCTGCCTGGCTGTTCTTTCTCATATCTTCTGTGCCAAGTATTCCATGTTTGCAGCTAAACTTCTGACTCACATGATGGCAGCCAGCTTAGGTACACAGGTAGGAGAGCACTGGGATTTCCCACTTTCATGTGATGTTCATGTTTCTTCTTCTGTGATCCTTGAGCTGAATGTATAAGTAAAGTTTAATCTCAATTTAGTTGAAATAAGCTTGTTTAAATTGTAGTGGAGGAGGATGGGGAAGGAGAGCAGTAAGAGGAAATGAGAGTATCAGGTCTAAAAAGTGTCTTTTGTGAACTTTCTACAGAGAAATACCTTAGTGTCACCGCTTACAAGAAAATAACTGCTGCTTATCGTGAAGCATCATATTGTCAATTTATGTATTACTAATGTGTATATATGTTAAAATGAGCACAGTTTAATTTAATCTGAATAAAATATGCTCTGTTACAGATCCTTTATACGGAGGGCATTAAAATGATATATACTATTTATTTATTTATTTATTTATATTTGGCTGCATTGGGTCTTTGTTGCTGCACACAGGCTTTCTCTAGTTGTGATGAGCGGGGACTACTCTTCGTTGCCCTGTGCGGCTTCTCGAGTGATAAAGCAAATAGGTTACTTTGTGCAGCACATTTAAATTTTAAAAGGCAGGAAATATTTTTAAAATATATATATACGTTCTACATTTAAAACCTAACATTAAAAGAAATTCATACAGATTGCAAGATAAAAGATTTATGGGTTATCATGAGATTCTGATCTTCCCCTTGAAGTGGTATAGGTAGGTGAATTCAAGTAGATTTAAAGAAGATAAGAATAATGTTCTTCACACTACTTGAAAATGTAGGTGTTTAGGTTAAAAATCATCTCAGAAAGAACACATTTTGTTTCTGGTTTTGGCACCCAGGAGCATAAGGTTGCTTTAAAAATTCATGATCACCACTGTTGTAATTACATAATTATTTCTAGTAGACAAAAAGGGGTAATTACCAAACCTGAGTTTTGATAGCACCATTCACAATTTTATGCCTGAAAAATCCTATTCACCTCCTTAAATATCTCTATTTAGCAAGCCACCTGATCATGGAAAATTAGATTGGAATTTGATTCTTTTCTTAAAGAGTAAAGCTTGTCTAAATTATTAATCTGCTTAATTTGTGCTTTCTTTTTAGTAGGGAAGTAAACAAGTAGATATTTGAAATTTAAAGTTACCCTTTGGGCTTAATAAGTGTGAGGATTTTATATGTCTTGTCAAGTGGACTGGATTAAAATTGGAACATGAATGTTCCCTGAGATGTTGTGCTGTGTGGCCTTATGTGCTTATCTTTTCCAAAGATTTTACCATGCTTCTGTTTATTCATGGATTGTAAAACCACACATGGGCTTTTTTGTTTCTACAGGTCTCTGCCTGGCTGTTCTTTCTCATATCTTCTGTGCCAAGTATTCCATGTTTGCAGCTAAACTTCTGACTCACATGATGGCAGCCAGCTTAGGTACACAGGTAGGAGAGCACTGGGATTTCCCACTTTCATGTGATGTTCATGTTTCTTCTTCTGTGATCCTTGAGCTGAATGTATAAGTAAAGTTTAATCTCAATTTAGTTGAAATAAGCTTGTTTAAATTGTAGTGGAGGAGGATGGGGAAGGAGAGCAGTAAGAGGAAATGAGAGTATCAGGTCTAAAAAGTGTCTTTTGTGAACTTTCTACAGAGAAATACCTTAGTGTCACCGCTTACAAGAAAATAACTGCTGCTTATCGTGAAGCATCATATTGTCAATTTATGTATTACTAATGTGTATATATGTTAAAATGAGCACAGTTTAATTTAATCTGAATAAAATATGCTCTGTTACAGATCCTTTATACGGAGGGCATTAAAATGATATATACTATTTATTTATTTATTTATTTATATTTGGCTGCATTGGGTCTTTGTTGCTGCACACAGGCTTTCTCTAGTTGTGATGAGCGGGGACTACTCTTCGTTGCCCTGTGCGGCTTCTCGTTGTGGTGGCTTCTCTTGTTGCGGAGCATGGGCTCTAGGTGTGCAGGCTTCAGTAGTTGTGGCACGGGGGCTCAGTAGTTGTGGCTTGCAGGCTCTAGAGCACAGGCTCAGTAGTTGTAGTAAGCCCGTGTAAGCACGGGCTTAGTTGCTCCGTGGCATGTGGGGTCTTCCCGGACTAGGCCTCGAACCCATGTCCCCTTCATTGGCAGGTGGATTCTTAACCACTGCGCCACCAGGGAAGCCCAAAATGATATGTACTTTAAGACATCTGGATAATATATTTTGCTTCATTTAATATTATAGAATACAGTTTGGTAGAACATTCTTTTTTGAAAAACCGTTTCTATGGCAGAAGAAATAGTGTGAAAAGCATTGAGTCATTCATTAGCATGCATTTTAAAGCATACAGTTTAAAGCCCGGAAGGCAGATCAAAAAGATGAAATTAAATGCCTTTTCTGTCCATAAGATATTCACAGTCTGGAACAGTAGATGTACATACAAATAACTCTAATGCAGTCGAATTAGTGTGAACACAGACTATTTGTGAATATAGTTGAGGACTTAATATTTCTGTGAAGGTAAGGGAAGTCTCCCCAGAGGAGGTGATATTTGGGATGGCCTCAAATGAGAAATTCATGCAGTTTGTTGATTAGGAGTAAGATGGGCATAGACATCTATATAAGCAAATAGGAAAAAGCATAATCACTTCTACTTGAAGACTGTAATTACAGTTTCAACCGGAAGAATACACTATATAATGTTATTATTGAGAAAACTTTGTAATATTGTTTTATAAAATTTCCTCGTTTCTGGGTAGGTGGGTGCACATCTGAAGTGCAGAAAATGCTGGTGCCTGATTGCGTGCTGGTGTATGCATGTGTTCAGTTTACGTAAATTTATTGTGCTGTCCTTATACTTAGGAGTTGCATGCATTTTAGAATGCTAATGGCATTCTATTGAACTCCAAACAGAACCTTTAAAAATAATGCTAGAGGAGGAGCTGAAATGTAAAATGGAAGATTATCTGGGACATTGGACTTCTCTTGCCTTTTTTGGTCCCAGGAATGAAAATGACACGAGTAAATTTCATAACTTTATTTTTTAGGGAACAATGAAGTACTGAATTCTAAGTAGAAGATCCCAGATTGTGCTTTTAAAGTACCTATGAACTATGAGAGGTAACAGCTGTTACCAGAGGGGGACTTACATTGAGTTTGACAAGACTATTTATATTGCCTTGGTAGCTATCTTAGTTGTCTGATCTTGCCTTTGCTTCTTGTATTTAAGATCTTAGAAAACCCACCTTCCATAATTAGAGTTTACTTGGCTGTATTCATCACCCACTCTGGTGATTTTTTTGGCAGCAGAATTTGTACAAGTCTTAATTATAGAACCATAGAATTACAGACAACTCTTCAGTGTCCTAGCAGACAAATTTGCTCATGTCTCGGGATGTAAAAAAAAGACGGGATTTATATCTTGGGACACTGCCTTCAGATTCACATTATACTTAACATTAATTTTGGAGAAAATAGTCAAATCCATGTTATTCAGTATATTTTTAGAATAGATAAAGCAACGTGGCATGAAAAATCCTACAATGTATGACTTGTCACGTGATGTAACTAAAAAAGAACTTCCGTAGTTTATTTTTGGCAGGAAGAATTGTTGATAGGTTGTGGATAGAAAGTACTGTCTCCTCAAAATGTTTTACCTATCTACTTTGATTTTTAAAAATACTCTCTAAATTAAAAAGAATAATTTTCTCCTTTAAAACCTTTTAGCAAAGCCTTTGAAAAATTCTTAGACTCTCCAAAAAAAGGAATGAAGCTGACTGCAGGAACTTGGGCCTTCCCTTTCATTTATGAATTTTAAAATCACGTTTATATCTCCAGTTACAGAATCTTGCCAGTGGGGGGATTCCAGTTCCAGTCTTGGACCTCTCATTTGGGATCCTCCATCAACTATATGTTCACATTCTTATAGTTTGTTTCCTGTAGAGAAGTCTTAAAAAATACAATTTGGCCTGTGGGTCTTTGGCTAAAAGAGTAAAATTTCTCTAGCTGACCTCAAGTGTTTGAGTTGTGAATACTCTGTAGACAGGTCTGCCAAGACCATTTGGTTTTAAATCTTTATTGCTGGCCTAGGACTAAGTCGAATGGCTTTTGTGGAAAGGGGAAGAATGAAAATGTAATGGCCTCTGACTTCCTTTCAGGGCAGTGTGTCAGTGAGGGAAGCAATCAGCATCAGGAAAATGTGATAGTCTGTATTTCTCGAAACATATATTGTATCTAATGTTCTTCCTTTAAAAGACAAAAGATTCTGCTTTAATCTAGAATTTATGTCATTCAAGCATCTTTGAGAACCACTGACTAAATTACCAGCAGGTGGCAGTAAAAGATTTTTTTTTTTTTTTTGCAAAACTGGTTTTTAGTCTCTAGCAAAGATGGAGTTCAGTAGAGAACTTGAGATGTTTTCACAGCACTTCTTGCACTGGGCTAGAGAGTATTCTTCTGCAACTTAGCAAACATGCATTTGTGATTTTCTACCTTTCTCTTTTTATCCCCTTTGTTCAGAATTGAACTAATGAGTCTGAAAGGCACGGTAAGAAAGCTTGCGCATCACTAGCTTGGACTATATCTTTCTGTCATTTATCATTTATAGTTAAATTCAGGGGTATAACATTATTTTCATTATATTTATGTTGTTATAAGCTTTAAGAAGTGTGCTGTTGGAGAAAAGTATGTTTATTTAAATGTCACAGAAGTTTTAAGATAAGGTCTGTGTTTTCAGTATTGTTTATTTTAAAAGTATGTATTTTTCTTCAGTGCCAAGTTGTTTCTCACTCATCTAAAAAAAATGATTAAATGGCAAGAAATTGTGAGATCATTATCTTTAAATATGAAGGAGAAGAGAGCAAACAAATTTTCATGGCATTGGTGATATTTCTTGGAAAAACATCTAATTATATCTTAGGAATTTTTATCTTAGAATCACATTGCCAGCCCATGTGTGCCCTGATAAGGCTGGTAAACAACTAGGACAAAGGACAAGTTTGCAGTTCAGGGTTCTCAGTTCTGGGGGTTCTG